CTGCTCCAAAACCACTAAGGAACTGGAGCTGCCCTCACCCTCGCTGTGCCAGCTCCCACGTTGCTCTACCCACCAGGAGGACCGTGCCCAGCAGAGGCTTCAGCCACAGCCCCCGTGAGCCGTGCAGGTGTCCCAAAGCAGGTACCCCCACGCTGGTGCCAGAGCCGCTTCCTGGCCGGACACCGTGTGCTGTTCAGCCTCCTGGAGCGTATTCCTCCGGCACAGGTCACCCAGGGCTGGTACCACAGGTGACACGGTGCTGGGGTGCCCACGCGAGCAGCCCGTGCTGGAACCACTTTTTCCATGTCCCGGCACAGAGCCACGTTACCCTCCCGGCAGCACGGGCATCGCTGTCACGGCCTCTCGCGGCGGCACAAGCCCCGCGTGTGTCGGTGCACACCGCGACACGCTCGTGGGTCTGGGGGAGCGTGGGTGGGTGGAGCAGAGCTGGAAACACAGCTGGCCAGAGCACCAGCAGACCCTCCGCGTAACGCTGCTTAAGGGGAGATTAAATGGAAATAATTTCTATTTATTGTAATATTTATCAAGGTTTAGTAAATAATTGATGCTGATTTCTCCTTGATTTCCTTGGGGGGCAGTGTGTGGTTCTGGTGAATTAAAGTTTAATGACATGTGACAAGCCGGGAGAAGTCGGAGCGGGCGGACGCTGGGCACGCTGGCCGGGAGCTCGACCCGTGCTGCCCTGGCTCGGGTGGGAGTGAAGGACATCCGGCTGTGGGCTCCTGGGGAACCTCTGCACATCCAGTTCTTCTGCCTTCACCAGTCCCCTCGATTTGCAGTGTGCAGAGCAGATCCCAGTGTCTACAAACAGCACAGCGTTCATTGTCCCTTTGGATCCATCGCTGAGACCGTGTGTGACGCGTCTGTCTGAGGTGAGGGGGGACACAGAGGCACCGAGGGAAGCAGCAGAGCCAGCAAAGCCCTTTGGGCAGGACATCAGCACGGCGCTTGCATGAGCAAAGGGGGAAAAGCTGCTTGTGCCCCGTTTGGCAAACTGGGGACTGTCACTGCACTGGGTGACACCAGCCCTGACCAGGCACCGAGCGATGTGCTCGTACCCAGCGTGGAAACAACAGAGCTGGAGGACCCAAGAGAAGCTGTTGGGACACGGGAGCCCTCATGCTCCCTCCTGCCAGCCCCAGTCCCGTGTGCCCTCCAAGCCGAACGGCTTCATCCCTGCGGCTTTTGGCTGGGCTCTCTGCCGGGTCAGACAGCGCTGGTTGCCACGGCGGGGCCGGCTGCTCGGCAGAGTCGTGCATGGTGTCTGTGCGTCGGTGTGATGTCCAAACCCTACGGCACCACCACGTGCAGCTGACCAAGCTGGGGCTGCCCTCGCCTTACCTGTGTCTGCTCGGGCACCCATGGGCCTCTCTTGGGGAACTTTAGTTTTTCGGGTTTAGTCGTTATTCACACGGGTCGACTCGCGAAGGTTCGGGGACTTGGCAGGCTTGAAAAGCTGCTGGGTCAAGGAGAAGGTGAACCAGCTGGGATGGGCGAGCTCACAGCTCCTCTCCTCTGTGGAAAGAACAGACACTCTCAGGCATGCCCTTGGGCAGCTGGCACCCACCTGCCACCGAGCATGCCCGTGCCACTGGGACACCCAGGGATGTGCCCGTGGACCTAAGCAGGAGAGTTCCCGTGGATGTGTCCTCCTCCCCTTTAGAGCCATCAAGGTCCTGGATGAAGAGTCTGATGGTGGCATCACTGGTGGCCACCTCTGGGGCCAGCCATCCCTGGGCATGCCTCCCTCCCTCTCCCGCTCCCAGCACCCTGTCAGGCAGCAGTCAGGTTGGGAGCCAAGGCCCGCAGGGCTTCCACACACCTAGTCTGGGACTTGTCCTTCTCCTCCATCTTGAGGTGGCACTGGCAGGTGGAGGCCTTGCTGTAGCTGACGGAGCGCTTGGTGGATTTCTTCCACTTCCGCACATTCCGCACAACTCGCTTGAAGATGAGGTAGAAGATCTCACAGACGGTGAGGACAATGCAGATGGAGGAGGCTCCAACCATGAAATAGGTGAAGACTCTTTTCTCGGTTGGCCGAGCGATATAGCAGTCCACAGTGTTGGGGCAGGGCTCCACGTTGGAGCACTTCACCAGCCGTGGCAAGTCGAAGCTGTCCCACATCTTGTGGAGGAGGTAGAGAAACAGGATCTCTATGATAAGCTTAAAGAAGAGGCTGAGCAGGTAAGTCCACCACAGCCCGCCGTGCTTCTTGCCCGTGTTGCTGTAGAGCTTGGGGCAATTCTCCCCATTCTTCTCCCGGTTCTTCTTCTCGCGGTCCTCCCGGTAGGCCACGTGCATAATGACCAGGAGGGAAGGGCAAGTGACAAAGATGAGCTGCAGGGCCCAGAGGCGGATGTGGGAGATGGGGAAGAAGTGGTCATAGCAGACGTTGGTGCAGCCCGGCTGCCGCGTGTTGCAGTCAAAGTCCTTCTGCTCATCTCCCCACACGCGCTCAGCTGCCACCACGTAGACCAGCACACGGAAGACAAAGACCACTGAGAGCCAGATGCGGCCGAAGGCTGTGGAGTATTTGTTGACCCCGCTGAGCAGTGCCTGCAGCGTTTTCCAATCCATGGCAGTCGGTGGAGACCAGAATCACCCAACCTGGAGAAACAGCACCAGAAGCAACAGGTGAAGAGATGCGATGGGCAACAGCAACGGGGCAGCTCATCTCTCGCTGCGCTTCATCTCATTGACCTCCCAGAGTCTGTCCCCCACCAGGTTACACTCATTTGGGGTGGGAGGACCATCCTACTCATGGACAGTAAAGCCCAGCCCCACACTCTCCTGGTGAGTCAGCGGTGACTCAACCTCTCTGTACTTCCTTCTGACGGAGGCTTTGCTGTAAGGGATGAGCCACCCGGCCAAGTCCCTGCCACCAAGTCCCTGGCCTGATTGCGCATGTTGGTATAAATTGGCAGCGCAATCCCCTGGAGCGGGCCAGGATCAACAAGGGGAGGCCATGCCTGGGCGGCAGGCGGGGATGGCTGTGCGGGGTGCTCGGCATGTCAGCAAAGCAAAGGTTTGTGTGGACACCAGCCCTGCGAGCTGGCAGGTCTCTTGGGATGGGGGCAGGAGGGGACTCTGCAGCACATTTCCATCTGTGAATACATCTACCTTCTCCCCTGCTACCCACAGGCGCATGTGCTGATGGACGACAGGATGGATGCCCAGCACCCTGCCAGCTCCCTCTTGGCTGCAGAGGTGCTGGCTCCCCGTGGGGTGCAGCACCGGACCAGCATGGCTCCCGGTCTGTGCTCCCCAAGCTCATCCTCTTTCCTCCCCAGGGAAGCAGCTGCTGCAGAACCGGGATGCCGGGACACGCCAGGGACCGGTTTTCTCTCGCGCAGGTGACGCCCCAGGCAGCCCAAGCCTGGGTGAGAGTGGGGCTGCTGAAAGCGAGAGTCCCTGCGCAGTTGCCAGCAAGTCGCCCCGGCCGGCACCCC